CTGAAAAAGAAGTAACAAACAGCTCCCAAAAGCCTGAGCCAGTTTAAATACAAATGAAGAGCAAAATCAAACAGCAGGGAGAAACAAGACAGTGAAAGGCAATCACATTTCAAATCTCAGGAGCCTAGTTAATTACCACTAACTACCAAGAAGGCCTTTTCATCCTTTCAACGAATTTTCAATCTACTTCTTACTCTTACTGAACAGCAAGTGATGGATAAACTTACTTCAAATGTTTCGGCATCAGCAAAAAAGAAAGAAGCCAAATTTATCTCTAAGCAACTAGCTCAGCCTTCGATTGTTCTGTAACACATTCCTTGGAAGGCTTAGGGATGATCTTTGGTTCTGGTTTTTCAATTCCTTGTATATCGGTTATTCTCAACTTCGTCAATTCCTGGACGTAAGTGTTGAATGGTCAAAATCAACAATCATAACACAGAGGAAAGAACTAGAAGAAGGCAAAGATGAAACATACACACTGTCTAAACAAGAGAGTTATAAAGTATACCTGTCGATGTCCTCTCGTTCTCCTATAATTCTTTCTTCGTTTCTTTTTGAAAATGAGCACTTTTTCATCCAACGCCTGTCACTCATCAAGGAAAAACTAGTTAAGAATGCTGATACAAGAGTAAATCCTTCTACATTCCAAGCCCATTTTAAAACTTGTTGTCCATAAATATTCGGTAAGACTTTCACATTCTGATCAGCAGATGGTTTGATTTAGTTTCTCTCAGTCATCGGATTTCAGTAAGTAAACTCTCATCTATCCTCTTTTCAATTGTAAATTTTTCTTAAGCACAGCTTCACTAGTATTAGAAAACACCAAGCAAGTCAATGAGACACTTACATGCTCTTCAACTACAGCATGAACAGTCGCATCTGGCAAGATAGGCCTACCAATAATCGTCTGGCTTGCCGAGCCCAATAGAAGAACCTTGGTCAGTTCCAACTGCAAAGGGACATAAAGAGAAAAGCTTTAGCAACAATCATAAATCCTAAACAAAAATGCAAAGGTTCTTCCTTCTTATGAGAAATACAGTAAAGTCTCGCACTTTGGAGAGAAAAATAGCAAAGATTCATGAAGAAGAGCTTGAAGCTAGCATACCTTATCATTTATGTCACAGAATTTCAACTTCTCTGTGAAAATGGAATCCCCATTGCTAACTTTAAACTGATGCGAACCAATCTACAGGATAACAACAAAACATTCAACATCAGTGAGAGTCTGAAATGAAACTAAAGGATTTATTGAGAGACCACAGAGACGAAACCTGAACAATGGCAAACACTGGTTCATAGGGTTTGAAAAGTCTCTCCGAAGGTTTAAGAGGACCCATAACCTTATACCCTATCTCCGCCGCCTCCTCCACTTTCTCCGCCGGTGAATATTCCCTTTCTACTTCCATCTCCGCCGAATCCTCAAAGTCCTCCCCCTCCTCATCATCATCATCCTCATCCTCTCCTTCACTGCTTTCTTCATCTTCAGCAGTATCATTTGTGTTCGAAGAGAAACGACGATCTTGAGAGCGATACCAAAGACTGTACCATGTCAAATTCCTACTGAGAGATCGATTCGGAATTACGGTCCCATGAGAAATGCTTGTCCCGGAAAGCTCGATCCCAGGAAATGAAGAGATCGATCGCGTCTGGATGATGGAGTAAACCGTCGTAGCGCGGCGGCTCAGCTCACGAAAGCATCGAAGGCTCGCCATCGGAGAGCACGAACACACTAGGGTTTACACAGAGTAGAGAGAAAGGGTTTTTGTTCTCGTCTTTTAGTCCCTTTCAGGTTTCAGAAGACCCTCTAGACGAACGAGAGTCATATATCCACCAAAATTAGCGATTTGTTTATCAAAATTAACATATGTATATTAATTAGGTCCATTACACAGACAAAAGTTAACGTATTTAGTTGGTAATCTTCTTGGGTTTTTTTTTATTATTATATAACATGAACAAGGAGGCGAAAATTGAGTTGATGAACTCTAAACTCATAAATTACGTATAATCAGCATTGCTTGATTTCGAATCCAATGCTCAACAAAGTCCTAGCTGATTCCATCACTTTCTCGCCACCAACATCCAATGCTTCACTGCCCTGCTTCTCACTTTCTCGTCCCACCGAGCACTGGCTTGAAGTGGGAATGTTCACCTGATCGTCTGGCCTGGTTCTCATTGATGTTGGAGCGGCTGCAGCTACGAGCATTGAGCTTGGAGGACCATGGCGTTTCTTAGGCACCGGCATGTCGTGGTTGTGTACTCCTTTGTATGTGATTATTACTGCTGTTTTGTTCTCTACTGCTGTCTCAATGTGTTTACGAACAGGACATCCCGCAGAAGTACATCGGTAGTAGTTCCTGTATGCTTGAAACAGAATGAAATCAATCACCATGCGTATTAGAAGATGTCATTTGTGTATAAAGAGATGGGTAATGCGTTTAGTATCTAGACCTTGGATGAGGATTTCCTTTCACCATTTTCTGCCCGTATTTACGCCACCTGTATCCATCACCACAGATCCCAACATCACCAGCTGCGTGTACTACGAATTTATTTTTCTTTCCAGGTTTGGAGACAGAATCTGAACTTTGTGAGTTATCCTTTTTCAGTCTGAAAAACAGACAGAGAAAAAAGCGTGAGAGAAGAAAGTCTATTAATTTCATCTTTCGAAGTGAAGAGTAAGCACGAAATCCAAAATTCAACAAACTTGCCTTCGTTTTGGCTCTGGTTCCTCCACAGCTTCGTTCTCACAATGTCTCTTCCGTTCAACGATTGTCTGCGACTCACAGATGTTTTCTTTAGTAGAAGCAGACGGATCTGAACCGCTAGGAACAATTGTTAGCTCTTCTACTACTGTATCATCCTCTGAAACAGGCTGGATAGCTGTTGTAACTCTAATCTCTCTCGGGGAGAAGTTAATCTTCCGGGGAGGTTCATGACTATGCAAACCTTTGTTAACAATCTCTACAACATTGCCTGAATCATTGGAGCATTCGATTTTTTTGGCACAACATTCAGTATACGTACACCTGTAGTAGCTCCGTGAGCCCTTGGGACTCTTAACCTGCTTCTGTCCATATTTTCTCCAATTGTAACCATCACGAGCCGGTGTCCTAGGAATGGGAGTAACCGACAATCTGTTAACCATCCGAGAATCTGATCTTTGCTCTTGTTTAGTTGGAACTGAAACCAGTGATAAACCTTGTGCAGCTGAAGCAGTTGCAGGATCCGAAGAAGATAGAGATGGCTCCACCGTCAAAACATCAGACGATGCAGCCAGAGAAGGAGATGTTTCTACCTGACGATTCTCTTCCACTTCATCAACAGGCACAATCGCACTTACAACAATTTCATTGACGCTATCAGTCTCCTGCCAATGTGATACAAGAAGCAGTTAAATGTCATGCCTTGAAAACAGTGATTCTTGTGCTCAAAATCGCCTAATAAATCAGACACACTTGAGATCAATTACTCCTCTTCCCATTGTACTCGTACACAGATTGATCTTGGCCAATTATGATTACTCCTAACTCCCATGAAATTGTATAATCACTAAACGAGTAACATCAAGAACACTGAAGTGAAGTTTTTTTATTTCACGACTTCAAGTTTTACAATTTCTAGCACAATCAATGTCGACGAGAGAATCAAAGTTGTAAGAAAATTTAAGAATAGAAGAAGAGTCACGAGCAAACTCACATTCACTTCTCCAACATCTTCAACATTTGGTTCCACAGACGAATTTTCTCGAACACCTGGTAAACACAAACATCATTTCGTCAAAAATCAAACTCCCGAATAAATTAAAATAAAAACCAATAAAGAATTTTGCGGAAAATAAACCGTTACCTTGAACCTGATCCTTGCCTAGGGTTTCTGGCACAGCCTCATCATGTAAATCTTCCACACACGCACCAAGTGATTCCTCCTCGTCTCTGAGTTGACTCAGTCCATTATCCAGCTCCTTCTCCGGCTCCACTTTCTCGCTCATCTCCACCGTGCATACCTTAGCTTCGTCGATACCAGTGTCTTCCATGGACGATTCTCTTTGTCGTTTTTTCTCTATCTCGTGGGTTTTGTCGGAAGAGAGTAAAAGATAGAAACGAACAAATTCTCTAGGCAAACTAAAAAGGTAGCCGCTTTCCGACCGACTGATCTCCGGAATAAAACGCTGCGTTTTTGGTCCCTTAATTATGCCTTCTCTGCTTTAAAAGTAAAAGATACCAAAAGAGAATGAGAGAGAAGGGGCATTAATGTCTTTCAGTCTTTGTTTGACTGTAGAAGATAGTCTCTTTTAACTTTAACAAACTCCGTTTATTTCTCCGTTGCGTCACGTCAAATCATTGACGTGTTCCGTTTAGTTTATTACGTAATTTTTTTTCTGATTAGTAGCTAAATTCGTGTTAAGACTAATAATAATAGTTTCTAACTTTTTATTATTATTATTATTATTATTATTATTGTATGATTAGATTCTAAATGTGTCTCGAATGGCTGCACCTGAGGGAATCGAATCTATCTGGGATGTTTGTTTGTTTATCATGTGATGTGGAGTTAAATAGCATAATGAATATGGTCAATGATTTACGATTTTGAGATATCAAAGGTACGTTTGTTGTTGTGTTGATTCATCTAGTTTATATCATGACTAAACCCAAAAATATTAGTTTTTTAGTACAGTTGGGTAAATTACTCACTTTGTAGAGGAAACAACTGCAAGAAAAGTGGAGTTTGTTTCGCCTTCTTCCAAAAAAGTGACTGAAAGAGGAAAAACATATATGTACTTTATGTGTGATAAGTGAAATCATTCAGCACGAAAATAGCAAAATACAATCCCAATGAAAAAAAAAAAAAAAAGAAAACGAAGTTGTTTGTATTCTTCATTTTCTTCAGGGCTTCTTCTTTTTTTTTTTTTTTTTTTTTTGGGCAAAATCTTCAGGGCTTCTTCTATGGCCCAAATATTCTCATTTCAGCAAAAAAAAAAAAAAAAAAAGGATCAGTTAATGGGCCAATATAAAGATGGGCTTCAGGAACGTTCTCACGGACCACGGTATTATAATAATTAGCTTTGAATAACATTGACCGTTGGATAGTCGACAATATCTAAAAGCATCTGACGGTTATAACATGCTATAGTAGGTCCCACCATGTTCCAGTTGGGTTTCTTATGATTTAAATGCCCTGAGCAACGGAAATATCAAAAATGTCCGAGCAAGACAGATCCTTTTTTTTTATAATATAGTTTCTTCTGGGAATCTCAGTTTTTTTTTTTTTTTGACTAGAGTCCAGATCATCGTATTCACTTTGATTAAATCATTAATCAGATTTCCTTTTCTTATCCTTTCCCTGGATTCAGTTTCTTCGAATCCGATCGAATTTCGAAAGAAACATTTTCCCGGAAATTTGATTCCAGCTTTCCCGGGAAAATTTCTTGCTCAATTTGCTTCCTTTCATCGATTTCACCTATATTTCATAAATAACAGATAATGGGTTTATCAAATGACAGAATCAAATTCAACGTTGGTGGTAGAATCTTCGAAACGACGGCGACGACCCTCGCTAACGCTGGTCGCGGTTCCTTCTTCGGAGCATTATTCGACGAAAATTGGAATCTTTCGCAACCCGACGATCTCTTCATCGATCGGAATCCTGATTGCTTCGCCGTTCTTCTCGATCTCCTCCGAACAGGAGACCTCAACATCCCACCTAATATCCCGGAGCGTCTCCTTCACAAAGAAGCAATGTTCTACGGCTTAATCGACCACTTACGAACCGCAAAGTGGGGACCTTTCGACGGTAACAGACTCCACCTCTCTCGTTCCGTCACCGGTATAGCTCCCGGAGACGGAACGGCGATAAGAGCTGGTCCGGATGGCGGATGCTGTGTCGCTCACGGGAGCGTTGTCCACGTGTTTGATTGGATGCTTGAGGAGCATCCGACGATTAATCTTGATTACCAGAGAGTGAACGATGTGGGTTGGATTGATTCTGGTAACATTGTACTCTCTGCTTGTGAGAGATTAGGAAGAGGAGATGGAGGAATGGGATTGTTTAGCTCATCTTCTGGTGAGCTTAGGTATAAGTTTCAGGTGAGTCATGATAATCAGATTAAGAGTTATAGTGCTGGAGCTTTGAGTTTTAGTCCTGATTCTAAAATCTTTACGAGCTGCAAAGGAAGAAGCAATGAGTATGGAATTGGAGTTTGGGATCAAATTAATGGAAAGCAACTAGATTTCTTTTACGAGAGTCCTGGTTGGTCTTTAGGAGATGCTGATAAGCTGCAATGGTTGAGTGGTAAGAATTGTCTTCTTGTAGCGACTTTGTTTCCAAGGAAAGATAATTGTTATATTAGCTTGTTGGATTTCCGGGACAAGAACATGGTCTGGTCTTGGTCTGATATCGGGTTTCTTACAACGGCCGAGGAGAAGAGAGTGAGAGACGCGATAGCCATGGAAGAGAGCAATTCGATATGTGTGGTCAATGAGTTTGAGGATCTAGGGTTTATTGATCTGAGGATGGATGGAGGAGGGAGTAGTGTGAGATGGAGTTCTAGGAGCAGGTTGATGAAAAGTAAGATGCCTGATGAGCCTTGTTACCCTAAACTTGCTTTGCACGAAGGCCAGCTCTTCTCGTCTATGAATGATTCCATCTCTGTGTTTTGTGGATCAGACTGGGTTTTGACTTCTAGGTTGAAGAGAAGCTATGGTGGCTCCATCTGTGATTTCTCCATTGGTGGGGATCGGTTGTTTGCATTGCACAGTGAGGAGAATGTGTTTGATGTGTGGGAGACTCTGCCTCCTCCCATCATCTGATTTCACATTTTGCAAATCTTGCCTTAGTCTGGTCGGTTTCTGCTACTTTTTGGTTTGCTTCTTTTGTTATGTTTTAGGGTTGTTGGGAAAACTACAGGATGAGAGAAATAGCAATAGTCAAGAGAATATAAACATAGAGAACATGATCATAGAGTTTTGTTAGAATTGATATTGATACGATTTTAAGTTTCCAGGTTTCAGGTTGTGTTCTGTTTTGTCCTTACATGACTCTTTCTCAATGTAAGAAATTAATCCTCTTTTGACCTTTAGCTTTTAAGCTGCTTTCATGGTGGTGTGAACTGTGACCCGTCTCAGATTTCTAGGGTTTTGGGATTTCGCTCCCTTGGTTTGGACACGTGAGTGTCTTTTGTTGGACAATACATGACTTTGTCTTTCCACTTTCCGTAAAGATGTCCAAAGAATTTTGCTTTAGCTTTTTTCTTTTTTTTTTTTTTTTTTTTTTTTTTTTTTTTTTTGCTTTAGCTTTCTTTTCTCACTTTTTCTTTTGGCTTTTTTTTCCATGACACTTTCGGAAATATTGCAGACACAGTAAGTAGATGATGTATATATCTTCAAAGATTCTCATCTACTAAGTTTTCATCACACTACAGTACATTGCAAACTATGTAGACTGTTTAATCTTCTTATAGCTAAGAAACTGATAAAAGAATTGCAAGTGCTGAGATAATTTGACCAGTTTCTCTCGTCTGATAAGATTGGAAAAAAATAACAGTATAAAGCGTTGGTGAAGTGTTAGAGAAGCTTATCGCTCGAAAAGCTTACATATAACATCCGCGACTGCAAAAAGATATTGAGATTTCAAAAGACCAGTTTGAGACCATGGCGAATCAGGCTGTGTAGTTAGGCATTGCTTTCTTGAGGAAGGTTATTGGCTGAGATTCTTCAGGGGCTAACCGGTCAAAAGGAATGTAGTTCTCCTCTTTGTCATAGACATGACACACAGTCATTATCGTTTTCATCAAGCGCCAGTTCCATGTAGCCAAGTTTGTATACTGCAACAACACCACAAAGAAGTAGCCCAGAATCTTATAGTGTCTTATTAACTTCCCAAGGGAAAACTTATTCTGTTGTGGTTCAAATTACTGTCATGTTATTCACAACAAATTTATTACCTTTCCCCAGTTCTCTTGTATAGACTCATGAGCTGCACGGAGATTGTAGCTTGGTATTCTTGGGCTGATATGATGCGGGATGTGAACGTTGATATCATGGCAGAGAATTTCAATCCTGTCGCAACACAGAAACATTAGTAATATGAAACTAAACAAGAGCTCTCAGCAACTTAACTATCTGAGCAACTGGGGTGGGGTGCATTACCAACTAGGGTAATCACAATGAACAGTTCCATTCAGCTGGGCCTGAGCCGCGTTCCACTCATCCGCAGGCTTGAATGGAATGTGTGGAGCCGTATGATGAACCATTGTGAATGTGCTCATCTATAGAGAAACAAGGATGCGTTACCAACTTGGCTTCTGATGCTATATTGAAAAAGAGGGAATAAAGAAAAGCATAAGATAGAAGCATTTACCCAGAAGTGATAGCCCAACCACGGCATTAACCAGAATTTTATCCATCCCAACAAACCAACTTTGTATACGATCAGTGGCCACCCAACGGCCATGAAGGTGAAAACACAAGCCAAACTTATCTTCACCCTATTCACCTCGCTCGCTCTGAACTTTTTCAGATTGAAGTGCCAGTTCACCCTATTAGAACGCTTACTATCGTTGAGTAAACAGGTATATATAGAGAGAGAGAAAGAAGAACTGGAACAAATTGATCACTGTTTAAGAGAGTTAATCTTATATATACCAGTGAGCTATGGACAACCAAGGTCTAATTGGCCCATATCCAAAAATGATTGCCTTTCGCAGCACGGGTGATGAATCAAACTCCTCTGGTGGAACGGGCTGCCAAGCTGTGTCATGAACTAACCTACAGAGAGCAAAGCGGAATCATGACTTCCTATCTCTCATTCTATTGCGGATATCTTTAACAGTCTAAGAAAGACTTACATATTGGTTTTGGCGTGATGACGGTCGTGCTTAAACCGCCAAGGCTCATATGGGTAGACAAGTGGTAGGAAGGCGAGAGTACCCACAATGTCTTCCACCAATTTGTTCTTTGAGAATGACTTATGTGCACAATCATGACCTATCACAAAGAACTAAAAAAGAAAAATCCAGTTAGACAACAGTAACAAGCTGAGACAGAGAAGATAGACAGTGGAGGAGAGCTAACCCCGGTAATTGCAGTTCCTGTCCATGCCCAAGCCAACGGTAGCAGATACCACGGCGCTTTTGCAATCATGAAGAGCCCCAAAGTGTAAGAAGTCACAGATATCAACACAGACTTCCATGCTTTCAGATCATCAATCTCGAACACCTGAGAAGAATTGTATTCCAAAGAATGAGTAAGGCGAAGAAGTTCCATGGCAATCACACATAAGGCTTACTGAAAATGCCATACCTCTTTGGGAAGTGTATCCATGATATCTTTTAAAGTGACATTATCAGGAAGATTTTCTCCAATTTGTTTGAATCCATAGCTTTCTGCTAATTGTTCCCTGTCTTCTGCACTGTCAGCTGAAGGCGGTGCGACTGGAACCGCCACCGCTTTGATACATCCAATCCTCCTTTTCACAGGAGCTACACATCTTCTACTTCGACGGGTGCTTCCTTTTAAAAGAAGATCAATCGGCCTCACAGCATATATACCTGTATGCATCCACCAACAAAACCACAATAGAACGATTCTTTCACTACATTAGGCACAAGAACTAACAGCATTCATCATAATTGCAATCCAAAGAACACAAACAAACCCCTGTAACATAGACAAGAACTTTGCAGAGCATAAAACATATATAAACTCCAAAAAAGTTCACTCTTTTTATTGCTTATCATTGACTACTTTTATTGAAACTCCATAATAAGCGTACACAAGTATACTCGAAGCTCCCATTTCCAAATCCCCTGTAATAAGTTGGAGAAAAAAAAAAAAGAGGGGTTATGAGGAGAAAGAAGAGTACCAGGAGAAACACGAGCAGAAGCTGCAAGCTTAGGAACCCTAGGAAGACATTGTTGTGGGCCCTGAGAAACCAATAGCAAAGAAACAAATTCATTATGGGAAACTCATCAACTAGCAGAGATGGGCAATAGAGAAGTTGGAAAAATGAAGCTTTTTTTTTTTGGCTAAGGAAATTGAAAAAGAGTACCGTGAAGGCAAAGAGAGAATCAGCAATTCTGGAAGCCATTGGACAGGACGGAGAAAATGCAGAAGAAGCGACCCCCGAGAGTTTCTCCAGTAATATGTTTTATGAGATTGAATGGCTGTGAAGAGCCCTCACCTCTTCAACCTTCTTGAGAAAATTGGACTTCCACAATATAAAGTTGGGTTTTTCTTTTGTTTTGTTTTTCTTTTCAAACTAAAATTTTGCATACTCGAAATAATATGATTAATAATTTAATATCGAATATCCCTATTTTTTTTTGTATATCCGAAGAGAAAAAATACAAATGGTTAAGAACTATTATTATTGTCTTTGTTAAAGGGTTTTCAATTCAATGGTTAAGTACTATTGCAAAAATACAATTTGACAACCCAAAAAAAAGGTATAGATATTTATTATGTACTATTGCCTTATATTTTGAAACGGAGGGAGTATAAATTATCGAAAATGAAATTTAAAATCAAATCTAAATATAAAATATGTCCTATATAAACCTAATATTAGGTCCTTTATAAAAAAAATACAAAAACAAACTAACTTTCAAGTAGCCAAGTGGGGAAAAAACTGATTTTTTTGGTAAATTTTCATACTAAAGAAAATCAAAATTAAAAGGCTGTCAAAAAAAAACATTTGTATATATAGATGACAATGATAAAAAAAAAAAAAAAAAAAACAGAATTGGAGTCTATGTCTATTAAATTTTCTTGTTCACAAATACAATTAAGTTTTTTTTTGTGGAAGTTCTACTAAGTTCAGTTTCAAGTTCACGAATTTTAAGTCTCTCTCGTTTTTGTTTATTTTTTCTTCTTCTGTTTTTTGACAACGTATACAACATTATATTTTTGATGTGTATAATATGTCTATTATATCCCTTATTTAAAAAACGAAACGAAGAGAATAATATACGTTGATGTCAAAAAACAAACAAAAAGAGAGAGAGAGAATAATACGTTACAAGTGACGTGTAATAGTTTAATTTATGTCATCAAATTGCCGTGTTTTAGATCACTAATTTGTTTTGAGTTGTATTGAAAACATGCATTGCGAGTGATACGTGTATATCCTTCTACATACAACAAATTCTTGTCGACGAAAGAAAAAATTATGCAAAAAATTATTTTTATCAAATACTATTATTATTCGACGAGAAAAATCAAATTTTATTATTCAAAAATCAAAACAACAACAACGAAAAAATAACTAGTAAAAAGTAAAATAGCATTAGCTTGACATGAAAAGTCCACAAATGCGAGCCAAATTGACAAGGACATCACATGACTCATTAACTTGACATGAAACCGACTAATATCAGAAACCCATATTTTACGGCTAATTAAGGTTGTTGTTCATAAAAACTTCAACATTCTTTTTTTTTTCTTTTGTTATTAAGAGAGAGTGATCGGAGAAGTTAGGTTACATAATCGCTACAAAGTTAGAGTTCAACATTCTCACTCTTCTGCTATGATATAAAGTAGTAGACGTCGATCGTTTTAATAGTCTCACATTTCTTAGTTACGCTCGTGAAAATAGCATTCATTTGTCTAAGTTGTATAAAACCATGCGACTCATCGTCTGCTTCTTTAGATTCAGGTGACTTCTTATCGACACAAAAAGCCAACCTTGGTTTACCTAAAGATAAGATTTTTTTTCTTTTTGTTGTCCTTCAAAAGCAAATTGAAGAATGGGTCTTTTAAATCATTATGGGCTGAGCCCAACTACATCTACAAAATAGAATCCAGCAATTAATAGAGTTGCGACAACTTGAATGGAAGAGGAAGATAGCTTGCCACGACTCACGAAGTTGTTCATGTCTTAAAATTATGTTTTACCCTTAACTTGTTTGTTTAGGTTCGTGCTGAGTCCGCCAAAATAACATTAGGTCTAGAGTTTTCTTTGGAGCATTTGGAGACTCTAATCTAACTATATAAGAAAATATTATTTTTCAAATCCTGCAGACCTATGTGAATTTCCAAGTAGCCGAATGAGCTAATGTGTCTAATTAAGATTATTTTTCAGATCCTGCAGACCTAGGTTGACAAAGCTACCAATCACTTGGTTAGCCAATCCATTCTGATTACCGTCAAGTAAAAGATGTGCTACATCTTATAATTGGGTGACACTTTCTAATCCAAAGTATCACACACTAAAAATATAAAATATATCCAAAACAGTACATG